AGACGAGGCGGGGGCCGGAATCCGAGCGGCCTTTGAAGATGTTCGTTAAAGACAGTTCTGACAAACAGTGGCAAGCAGACCAATTAACCCTAGCATCGAAGTCCTGGCGGCTTGAAACTCCCTTCAAAAGAAATTAGCCCTGATGTTAATAAAGTGGGTGTTAGACCATTTCAAAATATCCAGTTCAGCAGCCTGAGTCGATTGGAATGGAATGGCTATGGTGCCTTGCCAAAAGAGGAGTCTTGTGCTGGTGTGAATTTTTGTTACAGTGGCTGTCTGAAAGTTAGAAAAAAAAAAAAAAAATATATATATATATATATGTCCCAACCGTGGTCGGAGCGAAACTTCCAAGCGGACTAGTCCAGGTTTGTTAAATAAGTAAGTTGCTCGCCGTGAAAAAGAAAAAGACCCAGAGAAGGACGTGTCCGGGAGTGGGTCCTCTAACGTGGGGGTTGGTGGCTGGACTCAGGATTGCCACCCAGGCTCCAGCTTCCCAGCGATAAGCCTCGCTAACACTCCTCTGCTTGCCCAGGAAGGACTGGGAGCTCAGCTGTTGCTTCCTTATTGATTTTTCAGATGACGCGGGAGACAGACCCACAGCTTCAGGCTGGGAAGGTAGCGCTGATGAATTGCCAAGACCCAGCGTGTATGCATTTGTGGGGTGATGCTTCCTCGTAAGAGGAGAAGGAAATGATCTGCCTGGGGAACTGTTTGCATCTGCCGGGACCGTACAAGTCGATTTTGTAGCGCTTGGGTTACATTTCCACGCGCGGTGCTGGTGTCTTACCCTTAGTCTCCGTCGCAGAAGAGAGAAATAAAGCTTCTAATCAATGTATTCTCTGAGAAAAGATATTTTCAGACTTGCCCTGCCCGTGTGTCTGTGTGACAACACAGCAAAGAGAACAGCAGCCCCGGCGTGGGACGAGGCGGGGACCCCTAGCAAAGCCTTTCCTCCTCGAGGTGTGGGTGGACGAGGCTGGGGCCTGGCTTGACGGGTCTGAAACGGAATCAGAATTCAGCTCTCGAGAGTGGCGTTGAGAATCTCTGCGCGCCCTTGTGCCGCCCTCCCTACCGTCCCCGGCAGTTTCCAGAGGGGAAACGGAGGCAGGGAGAAGTGACTTGCTCAGAGTCACGTGACTGTCGAGGGCCCCACTCTCCTGCCTCAACTAATCCTGCTTCCTCCTGCTGCACCGGGACCCCACGTGTCGACCTGCTCAGACTCAGGATTTCGTTTGAGGTTGGCCGTGGGAGGGTCGGGCTCCTGCCTTGGTGACGGACGCTTTTTGTTCTGCCCTGTATGCCATTCTGTCCTCACACGGGCTGTAGGGGAGGGCTGGGATCCCTCCTGGGGATCCCTCCAGGGCCCTGGATCCCGCCCGGGGTGGGGTAAGGCTGTGGCCGAGGCCAGAGCAGACGGTAGAGGCATCTGCCTCCACGCTGTCTCCAGCTTCCTTCTATCTCCACTTTCTCAGGCTGAGCCTTATCTCTCCCAGATAATGGACTCCTCTCCGGCCACCACATTCTCTGGCACCCAATAAGGCTGAAGCACTGACTTGGGGTGCGGCGGGGTTGGGGGGAGGAAAAACCCTCAGTGCTGAGCACTGACTCTCTTTGTCGCTTTAAGAGGCTCCTATGTGTTTTCTCCGTGTTAATCTAGGAAAAACAAAGTTCCTCGTCGGTTAATTCACTTGGGAGAGCCGGGACAGTTGTCTCATTTCAGTCTCCTACTCTTGGCTTACCCCACGGGTGCTGCCTCACTCAATTCTCCGCCTAGAGGCGCCGCAACTCAAAGTTCAAAGGTGAATTCCTCTATTTTGCTCACTTCTCAATTGGATGTCTAGTTTGAACCTCAGAATGGCAGAAACCGAATCTGCCAACACAGGGCAACTTTCCTCTTTCCCTGGGGTTGGGTCTGAAAATCTGGAGGCTGATGGGACACCAAGGTTATGAGGCTGCAGGGGCCAGGCTCTTACTCGCCACCTGTTCGTGCTGATGTCTGCTGCACTGTCCATTGTCCTCATTCCCTCCACGTGTGATGCTTCTCTGTGGCCCTTCAGGGCACCTGGAAACTTCTGCTGCTCTCACACCACGATAGGGAAAGGGGAACTTTCTGGGGGGCTGACACTCTGTCTGCCTAGACATAGTGCAGCCATTTTTTGCTAGAGCTTAGCCACATTCTTCAGGGCTCCACCCAGGATGGGGGCATAGGCCCCTCCCCTCCAGGGTTCCAGAAATCGTTCTTAAATTTTCTCATTTGCCTGCTACACTCAAATCTTGGGGTGTGGAGGGAGGGTAACATGGGACTCCTTCTTAGGAACCCGCTACTATCTGAATTACTTTGCTTCTGACTCTCCCTTTCTCCCAACTCGGGAATTCTTTTTCGTAATTGAAGTGTGATTGACATACAATCGTGTATTAGTTTCTGGTGTACGACATAGTGCTTCAACTTTTGTATGGATTGTGAAATGATTGTCTCAGTAGGTGTAGTTACCAGCCATCACCATACAAAGTTTTAATGCCATGTTTTTGACTGTATTCCCCATGCTGTGTGTGACACCTCCATGACTTAGTTATTTTTTAACTGGAAGTTTGTACCCCTTGGTCCCCTTCACCCATTTTGCTCCACCCACTTGGGAATCTTTTATCCAGGATGAAGGGCGGGGCTCACCTTCTTTCCATGCAAACCCCCTGTGTCTCCTCAGACCTGAGCTTTCGAGGTTCCTTTTCCTTCTGCCTTCTGAGTGAAAAAATTACACACACACGCACACACACACACACACACGCGCGCGCTTGACTAAGATATAATTTACAGATCATAGAATTCAACCATTTTAAGTATAGAGTTTGCTGAACATTCGTAAATTTGTATAGTGCAGACATCACTACAACCAGGTTTAGAACATTTCCGTCACCCCCAAAAAGTTTCCTTGCCCATTCACAGTTAATCTCTGCTCACCCATGGCCCCAGGCAACCACTGATCTACTTTTTGTTTCTATAGTTTTGCCTTTTCTGGAAATCTCATATAAGTGGAATCATATAGTATATAGCCTTCAGAATCTGGCTTCTTTATATCTCTATCTCTATCTCTCTATCTCTCTGTCTCTAACTCTATATCTATATATAACTTAAACTTCCCTGATGACTATGATTCACATGGTCTGCTGATGAGGGTTGGGAAACATGGATTCCCATTCAAGAAATCTGGCCGTGCGTGGAGGCTACGGGTATGGTGGCAGCTGGCCGTGACACGGGGCTAGGGAAGGGCTTGTTCGATCTAAGGTATAAGAGGCTTGAGAAGCTTAAATGCTGATGGAAGCGTCATTAGTGAAGGAGAGGTTGAAGATGCAGGCAGGTGTTGGGCAGTGGGCTGAACTGAGAGCATGGGGTCTTTAAGATGGGGAGGAGCCTGGGGCCTTGAACTTGGGGGAAGGGGTGCCCCTTGGGCGGGAGGAGGGAAGGTGGGAAGGACAGGCAGGGTAGGGGGTTTGGTGGGCACTGAGGACATTCTCCTCTTGCTTTTCATCCTCCTTCTTGTTTCTCCGTCACCCACTGTGAGTGAGGAGTGTGGAGTGTAGACAGGAAATTTGAGCAGAATGTAAGTCTGAAACCGTGCTTGCGCAGGATGGGAGGGTGACGTGATCAAGGAGACACCGTTGGATGCCAGGCAGAGCGAGAGGCCCAGACAGTGCTGGCGAGCATGACTTCATGATGGCACCACTCTGGATATGCCATTTGCTCCAACACTCTTAGTAGCCTGGGTGCACGTGGGAAGAAGATAGCGTTGGGTGGATTTGGCATTTAAGTTTCACCTGGTGACAGAGATGGAAGAAGGGGCAAGGAATTTAGGGTGTTGGTAGGAGAAGGTTTGAATAACGTGTTAAACCCAAGTTGAGTGTAGAGGGCGGTGGAGCGATGGAGAAAGGTGTGTGTGTGTGGAGGGGGGTGGTCAGTAGATAATGGGAACTGCTAGGGCACTTCAGTAGGGTGATGGGAGTCATTGAAAGAGAAAGCTGAAGGGAAGAGAAGCCCTCATCCCATCTGAGAGAGGAAGGTCTGAATTTGGGATCAGAGGGAGCACTTTCTGTGGTGAAGGCACCCGGTGGCGGAATGCGAGTGAGGAAAAATGATGGAGATGAAAGGTCAAGGATTTGGGAAGGCCGGTGTAGGAGGGCCTGTCCACAGACACCATGGAGCTTCTTCCTGGTAACAGGGGGCTGCCGGAGAGAGGGAAAGTGGTGGAACGACCAGGTGGGCTGTTTGATGGGAAGAAGCAGCAGAGGTGGTAACCTCTTTACCCAGGACCCCTCAGGTAAGGTGGTCTGAGCACCTCAAGAGGGTCAAGGAGGTCTCAAGAAAGCTGCATGGGGCGTGGGAGATGACCAGACTTCATTGACGATGAGGCTTTTGGGGGAGTGGTTTCAGTGGAGACTAGGGTTCTGAGAGGGCCAGCAGGTCAAAGCTGGGGATGCTGACACCCCCTCACCTGTTCAGGAACAGCGAAGAACAAAAACCAACCCAAGATGTAAACTGCCCTCACAATCTCCGTAAAAAGAGCGGCTCATCCATGTTTTAAATAGCTGAGGGGGATTGCCTCGTTCCCCAGCTACCGTAAGGAAAGGAACTATAATCGTCCGTGATGCTTTTCTGGTCCAACCTGCATCCTGCTATTTATGCTTCCTCTTTGTCGTCTTGAATCCCTGCTGGGTGTGCTGCTGCCCAAAGGGCCGGAGATGGGAATGAATGATGTGCCTTCATCCAGCAAAATGGGCTTTCCGCTGTCCCTAGTGTTGTATAGGTTATTGGCAGTGGTCAGTTCTGAGGAATAATATAAAAGTGTCAGTGGAGATTGTTCTTTATGAAAAGAGTAAAAAACCCAAACGAACAAACACTGCAAACACCTCTTTGTTTCATGGAGGATAAATGCGCCATTTCATCTACCTAGTGATTTTTGATTTCTGAAGGTTGGGTGCTGTTTAATGCTTCTGTTTGTCCCTCTCAGGTCCTAGACACTTAATCTTTTCAGGACATCTCATCACCTTCCAGCATCTGAAATCACCATGTTTGCCTGCAACGTGTGGACTAGGGAGAAATGACTATTTCGGTTGTGCAGGCTAGTCCACCACCTTTCATCCAAGAAATCCGTGTCCCAAAGTGACTTTCTGACAGTTGGTAAGAGCCTGTTCTTCCTCAGGTGGCCCCAATTTCAGCTCGCTTCTCTTAAGGGAGCGCTGCACCATGCTGAGTGAGATCACAAGGCTTAGAGGTGGATGACTATTTTGACTCCGTGTGATTTTTACCTTATGCTCTGACTTTGGATTTCCATTGTAAACCCATTGCATTTTGGATTTTGCAATTTGCAGATCCATTGTATTTTTTTTCTGGGGTCAAAAGATTCTGTTGAGTTCCTTCGTCTTGTCTTAGAGACATTCCTAAATGGGACTATTGTAATGTGTGGCGAATGAAAGAATATAGGACCCTTCATTGAATCCCTACCCTGGGTCCATGGTAGATAATTACAGGATCCTCTGTCTGTTGCCCCCTTCCCTTAACATCCTAGGGGACATCTTGCCCCCCAAACTCTTATGGCTTGTCGCAGGGACTAACGTGTTCTAGCGTGACCTGCACTGTTGGCCTCTGTCAGGTGTTATTGGGTGGCTGCTGACCCGAGCTGGGCCAACCGGTCCCTTACTTTTGGATTTGGGAATGGAGGAGGGTGGCCAACTTGTCCCAGTTTGCCCAGGACTTTCCCAGTTGGGGCACAAAAATTTCCATGTCCTGGGAAACCCTGCTGTCCCCAGCAAAGGGAGGCAGTTGGCCACCCTAAGTGGGACAGAACATTAAAGCCAGTGTTTTGCCCGAAGCTGTGAGTGAGTCTCTAGTGAGAGAGGTTGTGCTGACGTGGTAGCCCTGACAGAGAAGAGAAACTGAGAAAGAGACACTAGCCTTATCTTTGTACTTCCCCGTGCTCTGCGTATGGACCCTCCTCACAATCCACCAACCAGGGCATTGCATTTTCTGCTCATTTATGTTAAATAGAGCTTTGCCATCTCAACCAAAAGAAGCCTGACCAAACTGTGCCAGGTCTTTCCTTCCCATTTAACCTGAGAACAACCCAGGAGCTATATAGTAATGTGAAATTTTACAAACAAAGAGGCAAAGGCTCAAAGATTTTAAAGGACTGAGGGTCAAGGTCGCCAATGTAGAAAGATACAGAACTGGGAGTGACATCCACCCAGGCCCAGAGACGTCAAGTTTGGGGTCTTATTGTCACACTGCAGCTGTCTCTGATGCCAATATTGGAATCCATTAACATTGGCAAAGTTCTGGTCAGTCTGACATCTTATTCTGAACATCAGCATGTCTGGAAAGGGTCAAGGGACTAGCTTATGCTCACTTCTTGAAGTCCAACTTGCCCCCTTTGATGGGGGGATATCTTAAATGGCAGCCAATGATTCTCTCACATTTGCCACACACCTGCATTCTCCGTGTATTAGCCAATTTAACCTTTACAGCAATCCTATAGGTTATGGACCATTTTATCCTCACCTTGTAGGTAAGGAAACCAACCTACAAAGAAGTTAAGTAGTTCACTAATCAGTGGTAGGGTTGGGAGTGGGGGTCCAGGTGATGTTGCTCGGCGTCCCCACACTCCATTGCTTCCGGGCATTCAATGATTATCCCAGTCCTCAAACCAGGTTGGGGATCAGGTGCGTCTCACTTCCTCTGGCACCGGCTGCTGTGGACTTTGGGAGGTTATTCACCCCGTTGACCTCCAGTTTTATTTTCCATTTGTGAAGACTCAACGAGAGAGTTACGCAGGCTGCCAACTTAAGTTCCTGGCACGTGGTGAGTGTTCAATAGCGAGGGGCATACCAGTCTAGACCCCTCTCTTGATGTATTGCTTACATGTCAGTTACAGAGAATAGAATCAATTTATGTTGTTTAAGCAAGAAGTGGTTTTTTTGTTTGTTTGTTTGTTTGCTATGTTTCTCCTAAGGTATTCAGGAAGCCAGTGGTTCCTGCCATCCAGAAGCCATTCTATGCAGGAGGCCACCACTGCTCCTGCCGGCTCCAGAAGCAGCCCATATCTGCTGTAATCCACACCAGCAAAGCGGATGCCCTGACACCCGTGGAGCTAGAGACCCTAGCACTGCTACAAGGGAGCTAAATGGCTCCACGGATAAGCTTAGCCGTTGAGAGAGACGACAAAAGGACTACTTCTACCTTCTTCCACCTTCCCAAGCATACACGCTTGCATCTGATGGGCTGAGGCTAAGTGACATCAGTAACCCTAGTTGCATAGGAGTCTGGGGAATGTAGTTTTTAGCTTTCTAGCCTCTACAACTCAAAGTGGGCATCCAAGAAGGAGAGTAGAATTGTGTCGGGTGCCAATGGTTGTTGGGAACCAACCTACCACATTAGGGCTGCCCCGTTGGCAGAGCTAGCTGCAGGATGGCGAGTGGAGCTTCTGGGTAGAACAGTTAATGCTCAGGTGAGGAGTAGGGTGTGGACGTGGCTGAGAGCCAAACTCTCCCATCCTCTGCCTTTACAGAACCGTGAGCACACCTGCTGTGCAACCCCTCCCTGCCCCGGGAAGCAGCCCTCTTTGCATGTCCTGTGCTAGGTGGAGTGGGCAGCGCGGCATGGTTCAAGGCACTGTGGGCAAAGGTTCTGGTTACCCTTTGCCACTGACAACGTGCGATGAAGCACGCTTCTTCTTCAGTAAACAAGGGGTCTGGCCGAGGCCTCTCGTCACACTTAACAACCTCTAAATTTATAAGAAACAGACTCACTTGTGGTCACTTCATTCCAGAGCTACATTGGAGAAATAACATATTTCTTTTCAATATCAACGTTGTCAAAACCACAGTAGCTGGGTTTGCATGGTTTCTGGTAAAACGGTGGCTGTTAAAACTATGTCAGTGCAAACGTGGACATAAATAGATAATAAATCCTGATAGGTCTATAGGACTGCTGTATTTAGATTCAAACCTGTTCACCCTCACGAGATAAAGCTCCGTTTGATGGCTCAGCTTCCCAAACCGGGCAAAGGTTCAGAAATGGAAGGTTTGTGGATTTCATTGCGAAGTAAACAGAAAGTAGAGGCAGTAATCTAGAGTGTCAGTGTTGATGCTGAATTTTACTGTTGGAGCCCGGGTCTGCCCCCGCCCCTTCCCCAGTCTTTGGCCCTGTAGAGGTCAGGTGTAACTTCCTGAATTCTGTTAGCCTGACATTTCAAGGGCTTAGAGCCACTTAAAAAAGGTGAATATGCATGCAATGACCAATGTGTCGGGGCCAACATTTAGCTTCTGTTTAAGAACTCCTAGGGGCTGAAGTGATTTTCCTAAGCATAGGCAAGCCTGGTTGAAGAAACCCAAACGTACAAATGTTTGATCAGGGGCTTTAAATGAGAGTATTTACATGGAAAAATACCTAGCATCATAGCAGGTGGCTTTCTTCTGCATTTTACATGAATAAGCCTCTCTTCTCTCTCCAGAAATCCACCCTTTATAGGGCGTGAAGCCCCCCAGAGCAGGCAAAGCTCTCCTCTGGGAATGTGTATTTTCTTGGTTGCTTGTGGTATTTGCTGTTTGTTTTACGTTCTCAGTTAAGAAGCCCTTGAGAACAAGAGGGGAACTTCAAGTTCATGTAGCTCAACTCCCCAGTTGGAAAGAGCCAGTGGGAGAATGAAGTCAAAGCAGGAAAGCCTTGTGGGAGATCCTGACTGTCATCTGATCGTCAGCCGTGCATGGTCCCCCTCTTGCCCTTGGCCACCTGTGCCTTCAGCTCACCTCTTGGACCTTGAGTTTCTGCAAGTCAGTCAATTCCTTCCCCCCCCGTTTCCCCCCCCCCCCCCAGTTTTTTCTTTCTTTGAAGCAACCTGTGTTATGTTTTCCCAGTGGGTCAGCGTCCTGGACGTTTTACCCAAGTGGCTTGGAGGTAGTCCTGCTTGTCTTAGCTTCTGAATCTAACCCGTCCTTAATTATTATCATCACTTGACCAAATTCCCTTCTCTCTTCTCTCTACCGTCATCCACACCCACTCCCAGAAATGGACAGGTCTTGGCTGGGCCAGGGGTGAGGACCCCTAGGCCAGTGTGAGCAGTTTCTCATCCAGGGCAGCAAGGATGCCCAGAGAAGCCAGTGGCGGAGGGGTCACAGCAGGAAGCTGTAGGTCCTCCAACCAAAGGAGTCACTGGCAGGTATTGGAGACAGGAGATTGGACTTTGAGACAGCAGAGAACAACCTCAAGGGCAGGGCCAGGGAGCTTGGCTTGAGCAGGGTCACTCCTTCATGCCATCAGAGCCAGTGGGGGACTCTCAGCACGGTGTGTGGTCCAGGATGAACATTTGGCACCTGCCGCGATTTTAGCACTGTGTATGTGTGCATATGTGTGTGCGCACGCCTGCAAAAATGCAAGCATTGTGTGTGCAGGGACCTACGAGTGACATGAGGCTCAAGACCCAGCCCTTAGCGATGGTTTCCAATCCGTTTGGAAATACGCGAGACCCATCTTACACAGCAGGCCGTGTATTAAGCGCCACATTATGGTGGACAGAGAGCTAAACTGGTAATGAGGGTGCCGCCCAGTTCTAACCCTCTACCTGTCCCTTAACTTGGCTGTGTGGGCCTCCGTTCGTTCTCCTGTAATGTGGAGGCATGGGAGTGAACAGTGACAAACAAAACGAATCTGAAAAGAAAGGTGACACAGATGGGGGAGGGTGCACAGAACATGTGAATTTCCACAGAGCAAACACGGGAATTTGTGGTATCGATACCACCCAAGTCAAGCAATGGATCAATACCAGTGTCCGGAGGCCACTTTCAATCCCCCTCCAGATCACTGCGCGCTCTTCTCTCCAGAGGCCGCCACGGTGGTCTCAATGGTCTGGAAGCCCCTTTCAGCTATAACATTGAGTAACCCTACACATAATAGGTATAGACAGAAGACCACCGCGGCGCCGGCCAAAGCTGTTAAAAACTGGAACTCTGTTGTATAAGTTCCTTGACATAGTTTTACAACAATGAGTACGTAGGGCCCAGATTGTTTCTTTGGCCATCAGAATCCTACTTTTTTTTTTGAACAACTGAGCATGATCAACCAAGTTCCTATATCTGCGCTCTCCCCTGTGTCCTTGGCTCTGTGGTTCTGAGGTTGTACTCTGGGTCAGAAAATTCCTGCCTTCATCCCAAAGTTCAGTACCAAGTACAGAGCTATTTTTTTCTGGTGGTGCAAAATTGAGCTGGGTGGGTACATCATGGTGCTAAGCTATTCCTCAGGGCTGCCAAATTGTGACTTGGCGTGTGTACTTATGCCCGTAAAAGGTTGCCTTAAGCACAGAGGAAGGGCAAGCATCGTGATTACACACACACACACACACACACACACACACACACACACAGAAAGCATGGCCACCAGTATGATACCCACACGATGCACCCATTCAAACGATGTTTGCCAAAGGAAATGGATTTGAAAATTCTTTGAGTGG